AACTTGGCTCTGGTTGCCCAAAGACAATCCTCTAAAGACAGAAACTCTAAAAAGAGAGCCTAGGAGACTGGGCGGGACACCAACATCCTTCTTTTTGACTTGGCGCATAATAAAGACCTTATAACTATCAGCCCTTATTGTGACAATTATAACAAGAACAATCATTATGGTTATTAATTTCCTTGGCTGGAGTGGGCTGAAACTCGCAGACGGATACTCCCAAGCCCAGTAAGAAGATAAGGAAATAAATCTAGCAATCTAGCTGGAAAAGCACAACTCGGCCAGGCACACCTGGGAGGCCTTGGGAGGCCGAGGCGGGAGGATCTCTTGAGGCTGAGAGTTCGAGACCAGCCTGAGCAACATAGTGAGACCCTGTCTCTACAAAAATAAATAAATTAGTTGGGCATGGTGGCACTTATCTTTAGTCACAACTACTATGGAGGCTGAGGCAGGAAGATGGCCTGAACCCAGGAACCCAGGAGTTAGTGGCTGTAGTGAGCTATGATCATGCCACTGCACTCCAGCCTGGACAAAGGGCAAGATCCTATCTCAAAAAAAAATCTGTATATCTATATCTATATCTATATCTATATCTATATCTATATCTATATCTGTATCTGTATCTGTATCTGTATCTATATCTATATCTATATCTATATCTATATCTATATCTATATCTATATCTATCTATCTGTCTAAGCACAACCCAGCCGGGTGCAACTCAGGCCTGTAATCCCAGCACTTTGGAAGGCCAAGGCGGGTGGATCATTTGAGGTCAGGAGTTCGAGACAAGCCTGACCAACATGGTGAAACCCAATCTCTACCAAAAATACAAAAATTAGCTGGGCACGGTGGTGGGTGCCTGCAATCCCAGCTACTCGGGAGGCTGACGCAGGAGAATTACTTGAACCTGGGAGGTGGAGGTTGCAGTGAGCCGAGGTAGTGTCACTGCACTCCAGCCTGGGTGACAGAGTGACAGTCTGTCATAAATAAATAAATAAATAAATAAATAAATAAATAAATAATTAAAGCACCCACAACCCTGCCAGGCATCGGAGTACCCATGCCTGTTTCCCCATGGTTAAGTTACTTCCGGAGCATCGCCACCTCTGAGCTCTGGCCTATCTCCCATCACTTCTGAAAGAGCAGAGCTGGGCCCTGCTGTGAGGGGAGGTGTGGGGGCAGCGTCCTGGCCCAGGGCCCACGTGGGCAGGGTTGACCGCACCCCCTGTGGTGTGGGGGCTGCGCGGGGGAGGCAGCTGAGTCAGTGAGCAGTGCCATGATGAGCAGCAGTCCTTGCCAGAACCAGCAGGGGCTGGAAACCCAGCAAGAGGAGCATCAGCAGCTCCGAGGTAAAGACTGTTGGGTTGGGGATGAAATCTCCTGGGTGTCAGCCACCCTCCTGCAGGCTCAGCGCTCCCTGAATTTCCTGCTTTGCTCCCCGCTGCCTGGTGGGCCTTGGGCCAGCGAAGGGCTCGGAGGCTGTGAGTGTGCGGTGCCAGGGGGTGTTTTAACAGCATCCAGGCTGCCAAGAGCACATTATTCTCTTACAAAAATCCAAGGAATTGCCCAGGAGATGTGATATTTTGGTAGGGGGGAAAAATAAAAGAAAAGAAAAAAAGGGAGGAAGAAGAAAAGTTCTCTGAGACTCTAAAAGCAATGTTGTGCTAGGAGTGATAGTGGGTGTTTCAGCATCTGGGTCCTTCGGCAGGGAGCAGGTAGGGACTCAGAATTTACTGTTTATCTGTTTTATTTGATAAATAGTATTTCTTGGATGTCCCTGGGACATTCCAGGTGGAAGGAACAACTTGTGCAAAGGCAGAGAGCTAGAAAAGGACATGTTCGATAGCTTCGGAGAACAGAAAAGCTGAAGATAAGGACTCCTGGTTGTGATGGAAATTCTCCTCAAACTGGCATGGGCAAAGACAAAGAATTAATTGGTTCATGTGATTGAAAGAACAAAGGACTGGCAGCTTCAGGCATGGCTGGATCCAGGGGGCTCAAACAATGTCATCAGGATGCACTCTTCCTCCAGCTCTTGGCTCTGCCTCCCTTGGCACTGGGTTCACTCTCAGGAAGGCTGTTGCCATCTGGTGATTCAGTCAATTCCATCTTTACATCGTTCTAGCCTCAAACCTGGTAGAAATAAAAGGCTTCTAGGGCTGGGCGTGGTGGTGCATGCCTGCAGTCCCACCACTTTGGGAGGCCGAGGGAAGATGTTCACTTGAGCTTAGGAGTTCGAGACCTGTTGGCACAACATGGTGAAACCCCATCTCTACAAAAATATAAAAATAAGCTGGGCATGGTGGTGCATGTCTGTAGTCCCAGCTACTCAGGACGCTAAGGTGAGAAGATCGCTTGAGCCCAGGAGGTGGAGGTTGCAGTGAGCTATGATCACATCACTGTGCTGCAGCCTGGGTGACAGGGCGAAACCCAGTCTCAGAAAGAAAAAGAAAGAAAGAGAGAAAGAGAGAAAGAGAAAGAAAGAGAAAGGAAGGGAGGAAGGGAGGAAGGGAGGAAGG